TTGGTCCCATACACAGCCGATAGGACTCCTTGGACGGGGGATCAACCCGTCGCAGGCCTCTACCTACAGGCAGAGCAGCATAAACACAGAATAAACGCACACAGACATCAAACCCTTGAGTGAGATTCGAGTCCATGATTCCAGCATTCGAGAGAACGAAGAGAGTTTATGCCTTAGATCATTTGGCCACTGTAATCGGCTTCTGTATAGTAATGTTTCGTTCACTTCAACTGACTGTAGGATCACTATATTTATGTGAGTAATGAATTGCAGTATAAGGAATGTCGAAGTAAACCTTCAAGTCCTGTTTTAATTATGATCTCCGCATTTTGCTGGATGAACAAAAAGCCCTATCAATATAACCTACTCCCAGGAAGAGATTCGAATGCAATCTTCCCAGATATGAAGCAGGGTTAGTCATTCTATGGAATTTAATATATATATATATTTCTCATGCATATGACCAACACCATTACTTTAATGAACATAAATATAATGTAAATTATTATTAGGTAGTATCATTTGGTTCAATCTCTTCTTGCAGTTTTCTTCGTTTTTTCGTTTATGATCTCTTTGTTAGGAGACCATAACTTTTTATAGAACAAAATCTGTCGACATTCTTCGGTGTTTCGTAGATTGTGAAACATTTAGTTCGTGAATCATTCACTGTGCGGCGCCACGGTGATAAGTTAAAAGAGAATTTGACAGTGGAGTACGTAGTTCTATGATAGTCATAATTCACAAAGAGTTACAATATTCCAGTACAGTTTTTTAAGGAACTCCCCCAACCCATCGGTGAAAAGAAAGAACGCTTTTATAAGGGATTATATAGACATCGGGCCTGAATTGTCCTAAATGTCACATAATGAAATCTAGAGAAGCTTAAAGAAATGACTTTATCATATTTTCGAATCTCGGCCGGTACGACGACTACCTGACTGATGTGTTTCGTGGATTTTCTAAATCCTTTCGGAAAAATGTCACGATAATATTTTGAAACAAAACAATGTTCTCTTCCTCTCACAGCCCTTCCAATTCATTATTCATTAATCATCCTTACATTCGATGCTAAATTTTCTGAGCTATAGACAACCTCATTAAATAAATCATAAATGAGTAAAGCAAACATGTTTATTGAAACTCCGAATCAGAAGTCTAATTGCCTTGAAGATTTAAAGTACTCTCTAATTAAAAGCAATGAATGCTTTGACGTTTGACATGTGTAATCTTAATAACGCTGTTGTCGCCGTGAAGGGGAGACTGAACAGTAATTCTCCTGACAACCCCTTTCAGTCTGCTTTCCGATATTAATTTTCCTTGACTGCAACCGCCCACAGTAAAGTAACTGCTTTCACACGGACAAAACTGAACTAATGCTCAAGGCATGCTCCTCTCAAAGCACAAGAAACAGTTTACAGTTGATTGTTTCATAATTATGTAGTGATCATGTATCAGCTGCGATGGTTACATAGGTCCGTATGAAACCAGAACATGTTTGAGACCCAACGGCTTGGCGTAGAGGTAATGTTGGCTTCGAATCTCGGCCAAGGCATCGACTCAATTGACTGAGGGTGTTCTTGATTTTCCTCAGTCTCTTCATGCAAATGCCAAGATGGCACCTCGATTACGCCACGACCGATCCCTTGTACATCCCTTCCAAATTATTATTCACGTTTCATTAGGGGTAGTTTCAGTAAGTAAGGCAAAAAGTTGTAGAAGTAAATAAGTAAAATGGTTTGAAAATTATCTTTAACAGATAGATAATATGAAGGAAATTGTAGCCTATTTAAAGGCACTGTCTTGGAAGTGGCATAAACGCGGAAAATTTGATCAGGGACTGTCCTGACCAAATTTGAAATACATGGCCTAAGAAATATAAGTTTAGTGTGCTACCACCCGGCTAGCCTGTTTCGACACAGTTGTAAGGTTACATACGTGAACTGAAGTACGTGTACAACGGCGAGGTTGTGTCTCTTAGTCTGCATGTTTCATCTCTAGAGATACTAAACAGATTTTGGTAAAGTATTATATTGGACTGCAGTCATAATGTCAAGCGAATTGGATTTGTATTCTTTTCATTTCCATATAATACTAAATTTACACAAAACTCAAATTCGTTAGCAAGATCTACACGAGGATTCTAAAGGGTTCTGACGGTGTATAACACTCAGAATTACTGGGTTTTCGGACTTTGACCATAAAAAACTAGATCTACACTTTTTATTTTAGGCATTCTTATATGGCGAAAGGTCGCTTCTGTGGTCTAGTTGTCAGCGTTCATGGCTACAGATCCAGAGGCCCGGGTTTGATTCCCGGTGCTACCACATTTTTTCTGAGAAGTAGTGGGTCTGAAACGGGGTCCACTCAGCCTCGTGATTATAATTGAGGAGCTATTTCAAAGAAATAGCGGCTACGGTCTAGAAAACCGAAATTAACGTCCGTGGGGATTCGTTGCGCTGACCACGCGACACCCTATATCTGCAAAAGTTAGCACTAAACTTCGACGAAAAGCGGTCGTCGCTCGGTCGGTAGTTCTCTTGCGGACTACAGGCCACGGAGTTTGTTTTGTTTTTGGTTTTTTATGGCGAATATCTGAAAAAATGTAAAGATATGCATGATTTTGCTGTCATATACATGTATCTTGATATGCAGCAATATATTTGAACCATAAATAAATATCAAGTACATTACACGTGGAAAAATGTATTTGATATTAAATTACCTCTATTTATGTACCTTTGTCTCAATGTTACAAGTTTCCGTTTTAAAAGAAGTTTCCTGATCATAACTCTATACGCGATCCTAACCTCTCCATGCGAGCTACAAGCACGGCCATGCGGTATGTATACTTCCACTCAGACAGTATCCAAAATGGACAGAGCCAATAAAGATACCGAATAACTTGACTCCTAATGAAGATACATGGGAACTGACTGCGGTGGAAAGTGTGAAAAAGTATTTTGTCGTGTTAGTAGATCTCTATATATGTCCTCTTGGGGCGCGCAGACACCCAGACCTGTACTAGGCTACAAGCTACGACCATAAACTACAAAATGGTACATAACTCATAATGTCGCCTGACGCAAATACCCCATATATCGCATATTCGTACAGTTAAATTATCTGACTGCATGGAAGCTTAGGCTTTCTTGAAATTTTGATAGTTTTACTGGTGATAAGAAGCCCCCTCTCTTCTATGGAGCTTGATATTTAATTATCCTGTTTACCGTATCCTGAGTCATATTAATCTACCCGACGCACTGTTTGTCTAATGTCAATTTTAATATCATCCTTCAAAATTTCCTTGTGTCTTCAATTGCTCTAGTTTATTCCTCTTTTCAGATGAAAATACTGTATATATTTCTTATCTGTTCCAGGCACATTAAATACCTCTCCAATGCATGCTAAATGCCCCACCCTTTTCTTGATTTCAATTCAATTCAATTCAATTCTTTATTATTAATGTGCCGAGTCAACAGCCCCAAGGCCAATTACAGACTCAGCACAGTGTAGATGACTGAATTACATTACATAGAAACTTATTAAAAGTCAAATACAAATTACAGTTAAATAATTGGAAGAAATAATAATGAATAAAAGTAAAAGTAAACAAACAAATAAGTGATAATTATAACAGTAATAATAATTCCATTATCATTTGATCATATTAATAATATTTTATAAGAAAAAAGCTATCCCTGTAACAGGCCGTAGAGACATCTGTGAGACGACGAGGCTGCCAAATTTTCTAGATAATCGGCTCACAGATGACTGTGAGGTTGTCAGCCTTATGTGCCGGCCGCCCTTTAACCCCAAGAAGATTCCTGGTACTCATTTCTCTTAGAGGCTGGGTCGACCCCAGGGCCACAGTGCGGCTGGAAGGATTACGTCAATTGAAAATTCCAGTCCAAAAAACCGATGAGGTAACTGGATTCTTTTCAGTTGATCTAATGGTTCCAGCAGCAATATTTCCCTGGGGTCGACCCAGCCCCTAACAGAAATGAGTACCTGGAATCTTCTTGAGGGTAAATGGCGACGGCGCTTAAGGCTGACACACTCACCGCCATCTTTGAACCACCTGTCTAATATTTTGAAAAGAGTAAAATGTATTAATGTCCTCATTATGTAATTCCTTCAACTTTCTGTTACTGTCTGTCTCGTAGGTCCAAATATTCTCGTAAGAACCCTATTTTCAACAAACCTTAGTCTATGTCCTTCCCTTAGAATGAAATACCTAGTTTTATAGCCGTAAATGTTTCAAGTGACGCTATATTTTTAGAGAAATAGGATTGTGCGATATAGACTGGATTGATCTGGCTCAGGATAGGGACAAGTAGATGGCTCTTGTGAACACGCTAATAAACCTTCGGGTTTCATAAAGTGTTGGGAATTTCTTGAGTAGTTGCACAAATGGCAGCTTCTCAAGAATGGCTCATCTCCATGGAGTTAGTTAAAACTTTTGTCTCAGTATCTGAATTTTTATGTCTTAAATGGTAGAAGGGAAGACATAAGATTTTAAACCGAATACCTTTTATGGTAATACCATACAACGTATTGTTTGTTGTCTCGGATATGTTCAACACAGGGCTGAAGAGATTTTCGGAAACTGGATCGGTCCCAGTTATCAGCCGCAAGGGGGGGGGGCGTCCTTCTTATTCAGGCCCTTTCGAAAAAACTAATATCGATTATTGGACCAGATTTTTGACCGGCCCCAATATGGTTATTAGCCCTGTGGTAATCGCAGGCAAGAATGACTGTGCTGACGAGGATCAGCAAAAATTTAGTGGTCAGTCCGTCAGCTGTTTCGTAGTGTCGATGGATTTTAGGATTATTTACACGTCACAGACAATGAACAGTCTCCAATATAATGAGACCGTAATATAATCACTATATTGTCCTGGTATGACAAACCAACCAGTGTCATAAACCTTCAGAGAATTACTGAATAAATTGTTTAACATCCATCAGATGCAAGGAGTGAATACAGAGACCACACTCACGGTGTTGCCAGTCCGCTCTTCCTTCATCGCCCTTGACCATCTCGGGGTCCAGGTAACTGACGCACTGGATCTTAGTGAACCCGGCTCTCTGGAGCAGCTGCCTCTGTTCCTCTGCAATCAGACAGGGACGAGTCACAACAGCACATATTGACCTCATTTCCGGCCCTAACCGGCGTGTTTATTTGGGTTTAATTTTGTGTGTCATCGTTCTGTATGTGTCTAATTATGTTTATGTATACTTATGTGTGCCGGTCACGGTAGCCAGGCGGTCTAAGGTATGCACTGACTTCGCTCTCTCGGAAGCCGAGATCATGGGTTCGAATCCCACTCAGGGCATGGATGTTTGTGTGTATTTTTCTGTGTTTATGTACAGGTAGAGGCCTTGCGACGAGCTGATCACCCGCCCAAGGAGTCCTACCGAATGTGTAAGATCTAGAAAAACCGAAGTGAACGGAGAAGTTCATGGAGGTAGGCCTAGGCCCACTGGGGCTGTAGTGACAAGGGAAATACTTATGTGTACCTATCCCAGTGGCCACTCGATCTGAGGCATCAACTGTCTTCGCTTTGGGATCTTGGGTTCGAATCCCACTCAAAGCATGGATATCAGTTTACGTTTATTCTGTGCTTGTGTTAAATAGCGGCCTTGCGACAGGCTGATCCCCGTCCAAGGAGTCCTGCTTCTGTCTAAGATTAAGAAACTGAAGTGAAATTCTCCAAGTGGGGGTAACAGAATAAGAAGAAGAAGGAAAAATACTTCAGTCTTCTGTGTTAGTGGCTGTATTTCTATGCTTGTTTGGATATTTATGTGTTTACTTTTTGCATTCCTTTTTTCATTCAAATTTTGTAGAATCACCATCAGACATATGTCTATGTATCTGGTGGTTGGTTGGGCCCAAGTGAGTAAACGTTTTACCTGAGCACGGAGGCAGAGCGCAGCCTCCGAAACGTTTTTTTTTAATTAAAACAGGACAATGGATAATGTCATAAAAGTAAACAGCTCTACCCATATGAATATGATTACAATACACCACTTCCACCTGAAGACGACTCTCGTAAGGATCGAAATAGATTATGAAAGTAAGAAGCTTGTAATCTAGGACAATGTCCGCTAGGCCGTTAGCTATGTTGCTTGTGTGACTGCGATAAAGTTCCTTGCTTTTACGAATTATACAGAGAATTGCAGGTATGGGGAGCTTCTGGTTTCTGTCACGGATGTCTCCGTAATCTTTGCGTCTCGCCAGTTAGCTACTAAAGGCCCATAATGCTGCATTGCAGTCGAATTAGCCTGCCAACTGACTGGTACCGCAAACACGGACTACATTTTATGCCGAAAACATTTCCTTTACATCTAAAGACATTGTTTGACGATTTACTGCCTAAATTATGAACAGTCCGTACTGATATTATTGCTCCGTTCGGTACATGACAGCCGATCATAGTGGCCGTATTATGTAAAGGCACGTCCACATTACTCGTGCTCGTGCTCGCCAGCTTGTGCTAGTCGGAAGACTCGTCTGGCTTTTACTTGTGCTCGTAAATCTTCGTCCACACTACTTCAGTTGCTCGCCAGGCTTCGGCGCGTGAGGATCCGTATATTTACTCGTAGTGTGTATAGGCTGTAGTCGTATTTTAATTTATTGGCTATAGTTTTTAAATTTAAAATTAAAAATTTGCTTGTCTCGTGACTTATCATATCGTCCACATTACTCGCGAGCATAGCGAGTCACACGAGCACGAGTAATGTGGGCGCGCCTTAAGGAGCATACTTTTCGAACAGTTCGACGGGCCACCGGCTGGATGGTCGAGTTCGATTCCCGGCAAGAACTTGAGATTTTTCTGTACTCCATGGCTTCCAGACTGGCTCCAGGACCCATCCAGCCACCTATATACCGGGTATAGGTGGTAAAGATGCAGGTACGTGAAATTGGTGAAATTGATCATTCATCTCCATGTATCGCCTATACTTCTGCTCCACCTCCTTCTTCACGGTATAGTGCTTAATTAATTAAGCGCGAGACAACTTTACCTCTTTCTTATCATTCGTTGTTCGAAGAGTGAGATCGTGAGTTCGAATATCGCTCGGGATATGACGTATGCCGCGATCTTCTCCTAATCAGATAAGTCAGATCTAGTTTATTCAAATCTTGGCCGAATCCATCTCAGAAATAACCCACTGGAATGTACCCACATTATAGGGCACAGGGTGCCTGTTTTATATTGGTGTGAGACCTGATCTCTCGCGCTAAGGAAGGATTACAGGGAACAGGGTGCTCAAAAAATATTTGAACCTAGGAGAGAAGAAAATAACAGGATGTTTGAGAAAATTACATAAGAAGGAGCATTCTTCATGAGGTAATAATAGGGCTATCAAACGAAGAAAAATAATATTGGAGGGATATGTATGGTTTATGTGAGAGATTATAAATGCATGCAAAGTTTTACTTCAGAAAACCTGAAAAGGAAAACGCTCTGGAGACATAGGTATAGCTGGGAAGTAAACGGTAAACATTTCCCTGTGCTTAATCAGTTAAGCACTACGCCATGAAGATCGCGGTGTGGTAGTGTAGCTACATCACTCTTAAACGCAGCACTAGATGAAGCTTCACGCACCGGTCGCTTTACCCCCGATGGATAGAACTCCCTGTAGCCATTGGGTAGGACAATTTGTGTGCCCCAGAGCTGGTCTGGACACTGTGAAGTCGAGAAAAATCCCTTGTCCTTACGCAGAATCAAACTCCGGTAATGCAGCCCGTAGCTCGTCCGTATACCACATGAGCTATCGCGTCTTGTATTGACTGGAGAATAATATTAAAATGTAACCTAAAGAAATAGGACGTGATGATAAGACACCCTGGCGAGCTCTAGTGAACACGGTTTTCAAAGAAGCAAATTTCTGACTTACGTAAGTAGTTACAGCTTCTGAAGAGAGACTCTGATACGTGGAGTTTGTGAATAATAAACATTAAATAGCAACCAATAGCCTTCTCTGCCACACCCCAGAATTCTGCATCGTTTTGCTGCTGCTATGACATTGCAGTATGAATCACATTAACTCAAAGTCTTCTGGCTTGTGGCCTCTGAGTTCATAGTTCATGTCAGGTGGGGCTTCTCAACGCGAAAGTTCGGTTCGATCCCGGGTAAAATTCATTCATTACTAGTCAGCTCGACCTATGAATTGGAGGATAATATTAAAGTGACTTGTGGGAACGTGGCCTGGCTGTATTTGCTCGCTTATCATAACAGGTATACGAAGCTGTTTAACTGTCGTGTTCAGCAACGACAGGGAATGTCTAAGTGCCTACTTTTCGCGGAATGCCTTGCAATCATGTAGTCAGGAATATTTGTTCATCGAATGGTCAACCGGGCATGATTGGATTGAAGTGGATTAGGTTGGATTATAGTGAATTGGCTGGTCACGGTAGCGGAGCGGTCTAAGGCATGTACTGTCTCGATTGGAAACCGGGATCGTGAGTTCGAATCCAACACAAAGCATGGATGTTTGGTGTGTGCATGTGTTTATTCTGTGTTTGTGCTGTACTGTGTTTAGGTAGAGGCCTTGCGACGAGCCACCCGTCCAAGGGGTCCTACTGTCTGTAAAATGATCAAAATGAAAAGACACCATAAAGGTACAAGAGGAAGGGATTAAGTAAGTAAGTAAGAAAGTATAGTACATTTGATAAGATGGAATTAGGTTGATTTGATTGGAATGGACTGATCTTTCGGTTGTCCAGTTAGTCACATGATTGGTTAGTTGCTTAAATATTTGGTTACTTAAACGGTTAATCATTTGTCACTTCAATTAATTACTTGTTTGCTTAGCTATTTATATAGTGAATGATCTGGGAAATTGATTAGTTACCTACAAAATTCAAAAGTTCACTTGCCATGTGTATAAGCTTGAATAGCTGCATTTGTTTCTGTGTTGTGACGTAATTAAATTAAAATGAATCAATCCACTTCTACTGAATAGCCCGAATAGTTTCCGCCTGTAACAAAGCAACACGCGTAGCGGACCTCACAAATACCGCGGTGTAATCTGTCTTGCGTCATATTGATCCTTATTGTTTATTTGAACGAACGAAAGGCCAGTTCGAAGAAAAAATCTAAGCGCGGGAGACGCCCTAGTCGCTGCTATCAAAACCACAGACTCGAGTTTGATTCGGTAGCAATATGGAAAATTGTTAACGTTCGCTTTTGCTTTGTCTTAGAGTCAATGGCTTGGGACCTGAATTTAACAATGAATACGGTAGATTAGACATGAGATTACTGTGCGAGTGTGCGATTTGCTCGACTGTTTACTGCAGAAGTAGTTATAGCAGGTCTACATAATTGAAGTCTATAACATATTATTTACCGCCACTGTGGTGTAATGTTCAGAGTTCCTGCCTACAGATCTAGAGGTTTCGGGTTCGATTTTCGGCGCTACCAGATTTTCTGAGAATTAGTGAATCTGAAACGGAGTCCACTCAGCATCGTGAGAATAATTGAGGAGATGTTTAAAGGAAATAGCGGCTCCGGTCTAGAAAANNGCTCCGGTCTAGAAAACCGAGATTAACGGCCGTGGAGATCCGTTGCGCTGACCACGCGACACCCTCTATCCGCAAAAGTTGGCACTAACTTCGCCGACAAGCGGCCGTCGCTCTGTCGGTATAGTTCGCTTGCGGACTAAAAGTCACGGAGTTCAGATTTCTTTATAACTTACTATTTTCATATTACGCATTACGATGCTTGTTTTGTTTTCCAGTGACATGTGTTACTACCCCATACATAGGGCTGCATTTTAGGTCATAAGTTTCAGCGTTCCTAAAGGCTTACTACGGGAGAAGGTATATAGAGGAAGTGGATAAATTCAATAAGAAAAATGTATACGAGTAAGGAGACGAGAGATAGAACGAAACAAAATTGAACCTTGAAGAAAGCAGTCTTCTGGTTCTCACGGTCTCTTCGTTTGCGGATTTTCTTATGTTTCCTTCTACCCTGAAGATGGAGGCGATACCTTCCTCCGAAACGTCGGTTAACACCACATCTACACGGTTCTCACGGTCTCTTCCCTTGCGGATTTTCTTATTTTCCTTTCTACCCTGAAGGTGGAGGCGATATGTTCCTCCGAAACGTCGGTTAACACCACATCTACACGGTTCTCACGGTCTCTTCCCTTGCGGATTTTCTTATTTTCCTTTCTACCCTGAAGGTGGAGGCGATATGTTCCTCCGAAACGTCGGTTAACACCACATCTACACGGTTCTCACGGTCTCTTCCCTTGCGGATTTTCTTATTTTCCTTTCTACCCTGAAGGTGGAGGCGATATGTTCCTCCGAAACGTCGGTTAACACCACATCTACACGGTTCTCACGGTCTCTTCCCTTGCGGATTTTCTTATTTTCCTTTCTACCCTGAAGGTGGAGGCGATATGTTCCTCCGAAANTTAATACCTTTACAGTTCCTCTGCTTCTCAGGTAAACTATATAATGTTCCTGTACAGTCACGAAGAGTGCACTTCTGGACACTGTTACGATCCCCAATCAGGCTGCAAGGTGGCAACAGCAACTTAAATACCTTTACAGCTCCTCTACTCCTAAAGTAAGCTGTACAGTGTTCCTATATAGTCACGAAGAGTGCAGTTCTGCACCCTTGCAGTCCCCTGTCAGGCGTGTGGTGACTGCAACAAACTAAATACATTTGCATCCTGTCTACATCCAAGCAAGCTATGCTGTTCCTGTATACTCACAACACAATTAGCGATATGTTTCGCCTGCTGCAGCTACATTTTCTGGAAAGCAACAGTGTTAACCCTTACTCAGTTACTGACTTATTAGAATTGTGAGTGAACACAATTATGTTTTGAGTAATTCCTGATAAATCGGCTAAGGCGTTTAAAAGGCGATCACGGTCTACAATAGTTGGTTGAGGCATTGTGCTGCAAGCAGGAAGGTCCCGGATTCGAATCCCGATGAGGTCATTGAATTTTTTTCTGTTGACCTAACCCTTCCAGCCGCACTAGGGCCCTGGGGTCGACTCAGCCTCCAACAGAAATGAGTACCAGGAAACTTCTTGGGTGGTAAAGGACGGCCGGCGCGTAAAGCTTACAAACTCACCGCCTTCTGTGGGCTGATTACCTAGAAAATGTGGAAGCCTCGACGTCTCACAAGCCTATGGGCCTCCATGTCCTGTTACAGGGATAGCTTTACTTGCCTTTACATTTTTATGTGCTACTTTTTTGTAAGTGAGGGCCGCGCCATAGCTCAAGAGGTTAGTCGCTGGCTTCCCACCGCGGCGGCCTGGGTTCGATCAGGGGTCTGGTCAAGTGGGATTTACGGTGGACAAAGTGGCGCTGGGGCGCATTTGCTCCGATTACTTCGGCTTCCCCTACCAATCTTCATTCCACCAAATTCTCCATCATCATAATCACCCGGGGCAGGCTACAATAGGCCAATCAGTGGCCACCGTGCCAAGTGGACCTAGTTGGACTCCACTCCCCAATTAGCGAATTAAAAAAATAATTAATTTTGTAAGTGAGAAGTCTTGCAGCGGGCTGTCGGCGAAGTCAATTTACACGCGATGACGCAGAATGAGACCGCGATCAGAGATACTCGGTCCGGTTTGCAGCTACACCCAGCTGCAATTTGTATTTCCATGCTCCATTAATCAGCTGTAAAATATGTACAATAAGCAGCACAAAGACTCTTCCTAAAGAACCCGTCTATTTGTAAGAAATGTCACGTGTCAAAGGCTAACACTAAGGCCGTCCCACCGAAATTCGTGGTCAGGTAGGCATAACTTCTGCTTCGTATTCAGGAGATTCTGAGTTCAAACCTCGACCTCGGGACCATTTACCTTGACTGAGGTTTCAGTCACGTTCCTCCTTGTCTTCGGGCAAATTCCAGGTTAGTGCCTCAAATTCGGCAACGTCTGCTTCCTACCCCACCCTTCTTCGTCCATACACTAATATTATTGACATTTATTTGTGGATTTCTTGACAACGCCCAGGTTAAAGCCCAGGTCAGGTCATGTGGGATTTCTGATGGATAAAGTGGCACTGGGGCAGGTTTTCTCCGAGTACTTCGGTTTCCCCTGACAGTTCTCATTCCACGGACTGGTCCACATTCATCATCATCTATCATCCGGGGCTGGTACAATAGGCCATTAGTGGCCTACGTACCAAGTTGACTCAGTCTCGCCTCACCCCAAGATATTTAAAGAAAGCAAAGTAAATTATCAAGGAATATAAAAGGTAAAAGGTAAAGCTACCCCTGCAACAGGCCGTGAGGGCCCATGTGGTTGTGAGACGTCGAGGCTCCCTCATTTTATGTAGACAATTGGCTCACAGATGGCAGTAAGATTGTCAGCCTTACGCGCCGGCCGCCCTTTATCCCCAGGAAGATTCCTGGTACTCATTTCGGTTAGAGGCTGAGTCGACCCCAGGGCCCTAGTGCGGCTGGTAAGATTAGGTAAATTGAAGAAAAAAATCCACCTAATTGGGACTCGAACCCGCTACTTTGCGGCTTGTAGCATAGTGCCTTAACCAACTACCCTATCGCGTGCCCCTTACTATCTCGGAA